GCAAAAAGAAGAATATGAGGCAGTGAAAGGAGACTGAGTTTTCAACGCCATTTGTCGTAAAAGCTGCCACCAGCTTGTTATTGAACTCACTAAAATTTACCTTTAAGGCATTAACTTTTTTTGTCGCGAAACTCGTGGATTTTAAAACTTTGAAACGACGTCCGATGAATCCTGAAACTGGAGTTTTGAGTCCATTGGTAAACTATGCCAGCTGGTCTCATGAGCAGATCAAGCTCTGACGAAATTTGACAGTTTCGAGACAAAAATTCGTCATGACACAATTTGTCCTTTGATTTTGTCAAGAGAATTCTGGTTTTGTCTGCTATTGCAGATAGCCCAGATAGGCACTTACGAACCAATTTTTAGTTAGATAATAGCCTTCACTCTCGAGAAATTGCAAATATATTTCTCATGTTATACGAGTACAACTTAAATTCCGAAACTTCAATCCAGTCAGTCTGGCTTTCTTTTACTGCCTCACATTTTCCCTTATGCTGTGGCTGTTAACAAGTACCGCCACCGCATTTCTAATGTTTCTTAAAGTGTTCAGATGTTTAGAACATACCAATACCTGTTATATCTTTTTCCATATCGTGGTCAAACTGACCGGAATGAAACAAAATTAACTTGTAATCGAGGATTTCGCTGGATAGCTGGTAATACTTCAAATAACTCGATACGTCGTCCCAGTAGAGAAATCAGGGCTTAAATATCCAAAGCCACTCCAATCTTTGCTTTCCATGAATCAAGTAAACCTTTTTAAAAGTTGAAATTCTCATTAAAATGTAATTCAGTCCATTTTAATAACTTTTGATTCTAATTTGTTACACTAACTAATTTTGGTTTCAATTTGTAGAACCCGCGAAACAGGCCATATGGCAAGGGGAAAAATTTGCACAATCACGTCACGCAATATATCAAACTGGGTTTGTCCAGTTGATTTTGATGGTCGCAGGGAAATGTCGAGTTTGTCGCTCAAAACCGTTGTGGTCCATAAGAGCGTAACGTCATTAGTGATGGAAACAAATCTGCGGACAGGAGGGTTAGTTCATCGGGTTCCGTATACTAAATCTCGGAAGAATCTGCAAGAATTATTTCAGAGTGTATGCGTGTTGTTTTGTAAATATAAACACTGCAACCTATTTTAACTTGTTTTTGTGTCCTTTCAAGCAACGCGATATATCTGTTATGACCAGAGTGCCAAATTTTATTCTTTAATTTTGATCTTCTCCACACTGCATAATTCATGACCTGATATTTCAACGTAAATTATCGAGGAGGCCTTCCTATCACCTTTGTCTACTTTGTAAGTCACGCAAGCGCGCAAGCGTTACGACCGATAACGTTTACGCAACGTTTTAGGACAACTCGGCATCTAATCTCCATTCAGTTGCAGTGAAAACCTAAAATCCTCAACGTAGAAGATAAACGAACGAAGTTTGAAATGTCAAAAGGAGATCTTGGTCAATTCCAAGAATCACGCAAATGATCTTTGAAACGAGTGCAATTGAGCAAACACATGGATTTGCGTTGTTTTTAAGAAGTTGGTGGATGGAAGCTAGAGATATACCCGCGGATTTGAGGCAATCCGTGACCTCATTGGTGTATAAACTATGCACTGATATGCTTTTTCGGCCCGATTAACGCCTGCATTTTGAGAATTCTTTGGTACAAAGTAGTGAATTTTTGATATGCAAATCAAGGTCGAAGAGCAGGGTCTCCTCTGATCACGCTGGTATGAAAAATATTTCAGCTGAAGTTTCCATATTTTGTCTGTGAACTAAATGAATACACCTTGTAACATGTAGCAAGATAGAATTCCGTGAGCTACATTGTTGCAGTCGCTGCGCGCTAGACAAAATCTTTGAAATTGACACTTTCGATCACTGTTCGCAGGGGTGGTCTGGCCAAAAATGATTTTTGGCTTGTGGCGAAGCAAAAAAAGAGAATTGGAGAACTAAACTATTTTTGAAACATGTGTCCTAAACCCTTTTCATGGATAAAAAATAAAAGAAAACTTTTTTCCGACGGGAAGTCAAGAAGACCGCTCTTAGCAAGAGTGGCACATAAATCATATATAAGTAGAAATTCACAAATGCTGCAATCTGATTCGCTACGCAACTACGTAACCTCATACTGTCCAGGTGTCTAAAAAAATCATGAGCCTGTTTCGTTGTTAAGTTTTGAACGAGTTCAACTTAGAAGTTCAACTAAACAGTTTAATCATTCGCTTTTGATTTCTCTGTGTGATAATTGATTCAGGCTTGGCCCAAGTCAACGACCACGTCACGCGAAAGAAATCTTGAACTCATAGGGCAATTTTCAATCTAAGATTACATTGGTTTTGCTCTGCTCTGTCATTGAGCCAGAAAACTCGGGCCACTCTCTTTCAACCAATCAGATGCAAAACTAAAATCAACCACAACTTGGTCGCCCGTGTTTTCCCGCGCTTTAGACAGTTTGGTTGTGTTCACTTTGATTTCTCTTTGGCTCTTCAAAGTATTTTCTTTCTTTTGATTGGCTGTAGGGATTACTTTGATTTCAGTTTTACGACACTTTGTCGAAAAGCGTTCTATACGAAATTTCAAGGGTTAAATATGAACAAAACTGGAAACATGTCACTCCAAGTCAACAAGAGAGAGAAACTCACAAACGGAGCAAATATCTCCGGGCAAGTCGTCGTTCTATGTAGTAGCACTACTCTTAATTTCTTAATCCACCCAAAGGAAGTAGTGCAACTGATTCTACGTGATATCGATACGACATGCGCGCAAAAACACGTAAGCGTATCTGTTAACCACAGAGTTGTTTGGCCTTAAACATCCTGCAATTCACCAGCCAGTGGACAAAAGCCCCCACTAAAGAATTTCCTTCATGTGGCTGGCAGTTTACAGCTGTTCAAATCTCCGCTGCATCACTTTGCTGCTTAAAATCCTATTGTGACTATAACTGGAAAGTTTGCCTCCAGTCTCCACTGTTCCATTAGCTATCTTTAGTACTCGTAACCAGGCTTCTTCTCAGATTCCAATTCCCGGCCTCGAGGCTGTGTGATAACAGACACGTTATAAATGAGTTTTCCAATGGATTTCCAGTTTCTGATTATGGTAAACACTTCTATACCTGATTTTGCATAGATATCCTACATGCTAACTTTTAAAACTTGTGACTAATCCATTTTATGACTAATCACTGGTATTCCAGTCGCTAGTTGTACTAAAAACTTCTAGACCTGTTTTCGCAAGGATATCCTACGTGCTAACTTTTAAAAATGATAACTAATAAATTTTTGGTATGTGTAATTTGTTCAGACAGTCGGTCCACGCTGTGTAATAACACATTACACAGCCATCCCTTCCAACAAGGTTACTGCAGCTGTTTATTTTGTTGTTTTGTTTTTCCGTTTCAGGGCCGTAAAGGTGTTGCAAATACGGCCACCGGGCCTGAGAATTCACATCCACTTTCAAGTCAGGAAGTCCTCATAAGTGACTTAAGACAGAATTTCTCCTCACAATATCAAAACAATATAAAGCAGACAAGTTATGAGAATAAAAAAAAATCAACTAGGGGATTATCAGTTGATCTATCAACAAATTCTCCGAACTAACATCTAAAGAATCGTAAGACAGACAGTAAGGAGAGTTAATAAAAATATCTTGGGAGTGAAAGGGTTAAAGGATACAGCCTTTCAGCGAGAAGCCAGTATGGCGATTTGGATCGTAAACTTTACGGTAGTCAAACACTTGAATAATTTAGAACTAATTTAGTGAACCGAATTAGAGCGTAGAAACATCTTCTGATGATTGTGTTAATAAATAAAACCAACCAAATTGACCGTTATCCGATGTTCTGCCAACGCGTTGCAACATATTTGCATTTTTTCACGTTTTGGACACAAAAAAAGTTTCTTACCTTTATAAAAACATTGGTTGGACCTTGAAGCGTTCTATTGCGGACGAGATAGCTTACGAAAAGTGGGCTCTGTACACAGCCGTATGCAGGCAAATCTGAAAAAAACGGTACAATATATAATTTTTTTTTCTTTGTTCTTGTAACGAGGTCGTGCCTCCATGAGGATTAGAGCCCCAAAATTTCGACTTCCGCTCTCGAATGGCAAGCTTTACTTTTTCCTTGTCCCACGCTTGTATGACGAAGAAAAAATATCTTTCTTTACTTTATTACGGAGCTTTAAATTTACCGTCTTTCCTCTTCTATTCATTAACAAATACATATATCCAAAGATAATTTGGTTTTATCAACTGAAGTGATAATGTAAATTGGCCACCGTAAAGGATTTCTACAGCTGAAGTATCGACGTAGGGCTGACGCTCGAGAGGTCCGCTTGAGAAACTCTTTACAGGGACCAATTTCTTTTATTAACTTTGTTAATAAAACATGACTATTGTTCAATACCCCCACTGACGTAGCACCAAATTATGTTTAAAAACGTACCCCCTCTATACATTTATTAACACTGAGTTTAACCACGTTTTTTTATAAGTGGCTTTTCCTAGTACGTGTGAGGTTTCCTCATCTCTTGAACAATTTGAAACCCTGTAAAACGCGCAGTAAGAGTGCTTTCGCACAACCTTATCGACTTTATCGTGTTTATGCCAATTGGCCCGGAATTTCACCAAATTGACTGTAAGACTGATAGTTGTAACACATTTGGACGAATTTAAGAGATCCTCGCAGCTAACAACACTACTGAAATAGTAGTTGAAAATAGGACCTGAAAAAAATTTCAGGCCCGTACGGGATTTGAACCCATGACCTCTGCAATACCAGTGCAGCGCTCTACCAACTGAGTTAACAAGCCAACTGGGAGCTGGTCAATATGTTGGGTCCAAATTAACCATCCAAGTGATGAATAATGATTTTAGATATATGAAATTCATACATTTGCACTGCATTTGCTAAGAACACTACTGAACTTGTAGTTGAAACATAAACTCACATCTGGACGACTTTGCCTGCACAAAGGTGGAGAAGCACGAATAAACCTTTTCCAGTATAGTTTGATTTTGACGCTTGGCATATTGCCGTATGATTAACCTTGCTGGAAACGTACCTGCCTGTATCGCAAAAGGAACACTCTCTACTGTTACAGAGGGGAAAGTGAGCTCTGTGACCACAACTGGAAACTTATCAGCCGCAGAAGTTCTAAAGAATTAAAACAATGTAAAATGATTAAATCAAGAAACGAAAGGACTTCTATATATTCCCCTAAATAAGGTTCAGTTGAAAAGGCATCAGTGGGTCCACTGAGTGTTGGCAAAAACTACAAATCCAAAGTAATAAAATTGGTTCATCAGAACCAATGAGAGCACGAAGAAAAATCAAGCAAACTGCCTGAAGCGCGGGAAAACGCGGATGGCCAAGTCGCCACTGGTTTAAATTTTGCATTTCATGATTGGTTGACAGAGAGAGAGAGAGTTTTGCAACTTTCCTACTCCAATCACAAAGCAAAGGAAGGCAAGACCAAATTTTGAATGCAGTTCGGTATTACAATCGGTACTCAATTGAAAATTGCTTCAACTATCTCACTTATCTTAGACTCCCTCGAGTTAACCACGAACTTACCGTCTCCACTGGAGGGCAAGACTTCCAATGTTCACGACCTTCAGTTTACTGACACCCTCTTTAACAGCCAAGCAGTAGCATTCCGACGCACTTTCACCCTGTTGCAAAGAGACTGGGACCACCATACATGAAGTTAGAAGGAGAAAAAGAAAACAGCCAGCAAGTCGGGAATAATTGTCAGTTTTTCACAAGAAATCTTGCACCCGCAATTTGCATATAAGGACACATAACGCAAAGCTGTATGTTCATATGAAAAGGGGCCTTGAAAACTCCTCAACAAAATACACCTCGTATTCCCATGCAAATTCTTACCCCCTCTCTCCATTGATCTACAAAATCGCTCAACCTTGTCTGGTATGTCTTTAATTAAGAGGGGCCTTGAAAACGCCTCAACAAAATTCTCCTCGTATTCCCATGCAGATTCCCCCCCCTCTCTCTCCATTGCTCTACAAAATCGCTCAACTTTGTCTGGTATGTCTTTAATTAAGAGGGGCCTTGAAAACGCCTCAACATCTCCTCGTATTCCCATGCAGATCTCCCCCCCCCTCTCTCCATTGGACTACAAAATCGCTCAACCTTGTCTGGTGTGTATTTAATTAGGAGGGGCCTTGAAAACACCTCAACAAAATTCTCCTCGTATTCCCATGCACATTTCTCCCCCCCCCCCACCCCCTCTCTCCATTAATCTACAAAATCGCTCAACCTTGTCTAGTATGAGGAGAGGGCCTTGAAAGCCTTGAAGCTCCTCAGGAAAATTCTCTTGTCTTCCCCTGCTGATTCCCCCCTCCTTCAATTGGTCCAAAAAAACGCTCAACCTTTTCTAGTTTCCCCAAATGTTCGGCGATTAGTTATAAAGAAGCCTAATCCACTCTAACGACGAGAATCTCACAGTTTTTTTGGGGACAGCAATGCAAGTAGACGCATCTTTAACTAATTCCGATCGGTTATTCTCGTAATACACAGACATGTATTCCTTACTTCCTTGCAGCGGCGATCCCATCTCTTCGCCCACAATATTCACTTCTGGAGACTTAAATCAAACAAACAAACAAACAGTTCTCCAGAATTTCTGCTTCTAATTCGAAGCACAGTTGAAAGTAGGAACCGACTATTCTCAAGAAGATATAGGTTCCTTGTCAATCCTCGATAAAACCTGAATTTCTCAGGCTACTTTTTCTTCAAAGAGTTAAATTGCAGTAAGTTTGAGAAGATCACTTCGAGACATGTCATCTTATCCGAAGGTTGAAAAATAATTCATGACATATTATTTTCGCGCGGTTCCGGCACACGCACGAAAGCTGTAGTATATATACATTTCCAGCTTGACTCGGGGGAGGGGATACTAAGTGAACCCACAGATTCACTCTTCCACTTAATCGGAGATTTCGCTCCGACCCACCCCACCCCACCCCACCCAATATCTTGCAGCACTTGCTCTCCTGCTCCATTAACTTATCTTCACGACTATATTTTCTAAAGGAAGACAAATCAAGTTTTTACGAACATAAATTGTTTGTAAACTCACCATATTCAATGTAGTGGTGACCATGGTAACAGGCCAAGGTGAGGTGCATTTGATGCCAGCTAATAAGAGGAATGGTTCTTCTTCGAACAGCTGATCCAGTCTCTCCAACTGAGAATAAACGCAAATCAATGATTTGAACTCATTATATTGCTTTGGTTTACACCCCCAAAAGCAAACCACGACGACGACGAGGGCATAACAAAACAAAATATCTAATTTTCAGAACAATTGATCGGCACGTGCATTTCAAAACTTTGTACATTTCTTACCCGTTTTTTGCAAAACAACAACTTGAAATCAACCAAATTTGTGTGGTCTGTGAACGGAAAACCCGATGGCAAACTATCTAAGCGCCCGTTTGGAACTCAACGCTGCTGCCATACGTTAAGCTGCGGTTGACGTGTGGCGCTACAAGAAGCAGTAAACGCATTTAGCCATTCGCGAAATTATAAATTCATTTTAAACCATCGTTTACTGCGGCGTTGCCTTCCTGACTGCCTGAGGTCCCCATTTACTAGCCTAGACACTGTGTTACTTTTGTATAGGAACCTTACAATTGAATTTTCATCGCGTGGTAAAAGACAACTTAGCGCTAATCATCAATTCAAACCACAGCACCCTCATTCAGATGCGTGTTAGTCAGAAAGTGTTTCTTGATGCACCAGACCAGGTTTATATTCGTAGAGTTATGCAGCGATCAAAAATTTTTGACGGATTTATAGATGCATTAATTTATGCCATAACTTTCAATGTAATAAAAAAAATTTGAGACAAGAGCGAGAGCAAGTTTGCTAACATAGCCAAAAACGCAAGTTTGATCGATTCCAAGAGACGTTAAATTACATCGTAAAAAATATTGCCTATTTTCCCTTACCTGTCAGAGACAAAGAGATTTCAAATGGCATAACAGTCTTGATAACAACACTTTCCTCCTAGGGCGGGTATACATCAGGACAGTAGAGAAAGAAGAAAGCAAAAAGTCGTCGTGATTTTGTATTCACCAGGTAAAGGATTTTTAATTGCGTGTCGAAAGAAATCTGAGATTACTTGCGTTCTATCATTGGTCCAGAAAACTCGCGCCACTTTCTAAACCAATCAGATGCAATACTAAAGCCACGTTTTCCCGCCCTTTGGGTATTGTTGTTTTTCTTTTGAGTTCTCATTGGCTCTTTCAGTTATTTTCCTTTCTTCTGATTAGCCGTTGTGATTGCTTTGGTTTTGGTTTTATGACAGTCATCCGAAAAGCGCTCCATGTTACAAGTGCAACTCACATTCACAAGTGCAACTACATTACAAAGCGAAAGAGAATTAAAATTAAATGTGGAAATACTGAGAGGTAGTTTTACTTTTTTACCTTTAAGACACAAAAGAGTGATCTCACCTTGGCACAGGTACAGGTGACTGGCGAAGAATTTGGTTCTACTTGGACATCTACAGTATAGATAATCTGCATAAAAAAAAAATAAATAAAAAAAAATAAGCAAATGACTAGGATTAAGCATTGATAGGAATCTTTTCAAAGAATAGAGATCTATTAACTACGTACTGAACGGAATCGCATAGCCCGCAGAACATGCACAATAGGGCGAACGGAGGCAAGCGGAAGTGACGTACGAGGGAAAGGCGGGGAAAAATAAGGCACTCCTCCCCTTTCTCTAATCCTCGTTCGCCTTAAAAACGCCTCTTCTGCAGGCTACCTATTGCACGACAATTTGACTTGAGGTCTCTAAATAGACGCCCAAAGAATTGTGATTAAAGGTACAATTATAGCTTACTTAAGTATTATACCTTTGCTCTTACAGTCCGCGATCCTACTTAAGAGCATTTGACGAAGTACGACCTCTCGATCTAGAAAGAAAAGACGAAAGGGACACATTGACAATATGCAAGACGTGAACTACGATGGTTCATTGGTGTTAAAGCCTTATTTTCCTGCACACCAAACAAACGAAGTAAAGGCAGTTTTTTAATCCAACAGCACTACATGGAATATCAAAAAGAAATAACGCGCGCAACGAGTACAAATTACCCTCGATATTGTACGGTTATTTCGACAGTTGGTTACTTTGTACTGCAAAAAAAACCTTGTAAATAGAGTAAAAAGATGGTTATTTTTAAGATCGGTAAAGAAAAGAGAAAGGTGTTTTTCGTCTAGTCACAATTGTAGGACAAAGAAAAAAAAATCCCCATGAGGAATCGAACCTCAAGGAGGCGACCTAGGAACCACAACGAAGAAAGCTTAAATCTGAAGTCTCTTTTAAAGCAGTCTCCTCCGGAAAAAGTTTTCTGTCAAACTTTGCCGGTGACACTACCGAGAGATCTGGCTTTGAGCCCTGGGTTGGGATCACTGAGTAATGTTCTTGGGCAAAAATTTTTTACTACGCCTAGGAATGATAAAGTGCGGGAAGCGGGGGGAGGGGGGGCAATCTTACTTTGGACTGGCAGCAATACTCTAAAGATAGTTTCTAGTAAAAGACCATTAGCTTTTCCTCTTTAGGCTGCTAGTCTCGTCAGCTGACTGCGACAATTATCATTTCATACGAATAAATTATTGATAAGTGCAAAGACTCGTATGGCGAAGTATTTCAGTAATTTTTTACCTGAAGTAGTTTTCCAACATCCTCAGGCTGGGGCACTAGTTGAAACGGTATGACTTTGGTCTTTGCTGGAAGAAGATACAATCCACCCTCCCCTTGAGCGGACCCAGTCTCCACCACACACTGTTGGTTATAAAACTAAGATAAAAGATAAAGAAAATTGAGTCAGGCCAGTAGAAAATGCAACCAAACTAGCATCCAGAGTGTCATGGCATGATTACAGGCAAGCAGACACGAAATTAGCATGTTCCAAGCATTCAATCACAGCCGTGAAATTCCAATCACAGCTGAGCACAAGAGCATATTAGTGACGTGTTCTCGATCGACCTCATCGCCCGAAGAAGACTGGCAGTATGCAGTCGAAACATTGCGATCCACATCCAAAGTGACCACAAATGATTACATTTCACTTTTGACGCCTTCAAGATCATAGACAATAAGACATCAGCTCAACGCCATATGCAAAACCAAACCAATCGTGCTTTTATTATCCGCGTTTTCCTACACTTACTGTTGTACACAGTTGTTTGATTTTAGTTCTCCTTGGTGCATTTTATGGTCGACCTTCGTTCCGGTTAGCTGTGGTAGTTACCTTGCTATTGTAAGCGCGAGACTAAACTGTGCTTTCATATTCTGGCGAAACAAAGTAACACTAGCCTTACGTATATAGGAATATTTTAACTTACCTGATTGCTAAAGAAAACGGCAATCTTCGAGAATCGGTGGGGAAATGGGCAAGAAACCCTGAAATATAACAACACACAACAATAACGAGTGTTTAGACCTTTACTTAGAACAACTTGTAATTGATTGTCAATGGTAATCCGAGACTACATCAGTTTTTCTTCGTTACGGTCAAAGATCGGTCTTGAAAAGTCGAGCCACTCTCTCGACCAATCTCCCGCCTTTTCCCGCGCTTAATGGCAGTTTGTTTGTACGCTGAGTTTTCATAAACTTCTCGTGATATTTTCTTTTGTCCTGAGTGACCGTTGTGGTTATTTTAGGTTGCTTTACAACACTCAATCAAAAAGCGCTCTCGAAGAATCACCGAATCGTCACCATGCATAACAGAGCTAAATAACTTCAGTGCTAACAGTTTTGAACCAAGGTTGTGGTCTCTTAAAAGCTTCCTCTTAACCATATTCTTCCCACGAGTAATCAGAACTTAAATTCTCCATACTTTAATAATATGTAAAACAAAAGTTTACGAGAATCAAGAACTGAAAATGATCCATCAAGGCATATTCAGGAAAGCGACGACATGTTACGGTGCGTCTGTTTAATAATAAATCACAGATGACATCAGAATGCATCACTTTTTGGTTCTTTCCAACATTTTGAGGTCGTCTGTGATCTATTATGGAACAGACGTACGGTATCATGGAATCTGTTTGTCAAATATAACACCAAATCCTCATGGCATGATAACATGTCTGGCCCTACACGTAGGAAAAGCTTTTCTGTAGAGCAGGCACGAAGTTAGGCTTTTCCAAGCGTTTAGTGGGTAAAACGCGATAAAGCGCGACAGTAGCAGCAGAGTGAGAACCAGAGAGGTTTGGGGTCAGATCACGTGCTTCATAACGCTCACAAAGAATCACCGAATCGTTACCATGCATAACAGAGCTAAATAATTTCAATGCAGATGTCACAATGTGTCACTTTTTTGTTATTTCCAACATTTTGACGTCGTCTGTGATCTCTTAGTGGACAGACACACGGCATCATGGAATCTGTTTGTCACGTATACAACGAAATTCTCGTGACTCACCATCAAAAGAAAAATCTATCATTGGTTTAGAGAATTAATTAGATCTTGAAAGCTAAGGGTGAAAGCTGTTTTGGAGTAAGCGACTCTAAGAAGACATTACAAACCTTGTAAGAAGAAGGATGGTAGAATCTGCTGTTGTTGAGACTGAATCAAAGACTGCCTTGCATTCCACTGAAGAAAGAACAAAATTGAAAACAACAGGAAATATTAAAATATCACACGCTCCTTAAGACAAATGGAAAAAAAATTCATTCATTCATTAATATTTTGAATTTAAAAATTTTACCAGTCACCTTATCAAGCCTTGGTTTCAAAGGGTATTAAAGAAGAATTTTTTTCTATCCTACAAGATTTTAGTTGCTGTATTTGAAAATTGAATTTAGGAGTTTCTACAGCTAAATTCAGTTTCCGCCTCTGTGAACTGTGAAATTATATCAACGCAAAGAGAAAAAATACACAATAGAGTTGACATTTTCTTACCAAATGGTGCTATTTGTTCCATCTGTATGGTAAATACTTGGGGTGCCTGTGCTGTCACTTTAAGTGTTTTCCATAGCTCCTTAGCTTCTTCCACTGCTTCAAAGTCACAGCCTGGCTCGGGCTCAGGACATTCATTCTGTTTGTAATTCCAATGAAAAATAAGAAACGATACAGTGATAAAAATTCAGTTGTCTTTCGTAACATGCTTGTCCTGTAGTAAGCGCTCGACGAAAAGCGAGTTATCCACGCGCGAAAGACCAGCCATGCGGGCAAAGAAACTCTCTTTTCCGCGTGTTTAACTCGCGTTCAGCCGCGCGCGTGCTTTCTATTTCTAAATAACCAGTGTCAGGGTCGTAGATGACAAAAACAGAAAAAAATCAGCGTAAACTCATTCTACAATAAAAGTTCCTCCATAAATCCTCTTTAAACGACCATTGGCAGTAAGTCCTTACCGACATGACGTGAATAAGATTAGTTTGACATCTTGTTTTCTCTTCAGGTGAATTTTCAACATCTGATGTTTTCTTGAATCAAGGACTTTACCACTAATACAATAACAAATGTTAGGTAAGATGTTTTCTCAACGTATTACACCGCAGTAAATTTGACTCGGGCAAAATCTGCACAGCTTAATACAACTACAAATGTCAATATTATCCTAAAGTTCCCAAATTTTGCAACCTTACTAGTTGGTTGCCCAAGAATACCTTGCGTTTTGAAGGCGCTTTTCAGCCTCTCCACCTGACTTGGAAACCAATTTAACCCTTTAACCCATAAGAGTGACTAGCATGAAGAACCAATAGGAACTCAAAGCAAAAACAGGCACCCTGCCTGAAGCGCGGGAAAACGCGGAAGACCAAGTCGTGGTTGGTTTTAGTTTTGCATCTGATTGGTTGAGAAAATGGCGCGAGTTTTCTTGACCAATAACATAACGAAGCTAAGTTACACCAATGCAATCCCACATCACTTTGCATTGAAAATAACTCTAACTGAAAGAATCACTTCACCCAGAAAAAAATACTACAGTCAGTTATTCAAATGATAGGCAGCATTTTCAAGGATACATCTTCCTGTAAATTCAAGCGAAAGGGTGATATATTCCTCCACATTGCCAACCAAGTACGCACACCTGCAATAAAAGTTAAGAAGACTAAGGATATACGAATAAATAAATCTAAAACTTGAAGTTGAGAAAAACTGTTTTGAACGTTTTACACCAAAATTGCTATTCATAAACAACCTCTTGGCAATAATTTGACGTTAAACAAGAAGACAAACTTTGATTTTTGGCTTTGTAGCAGTCCAACTGAACAGACGTGGAATTATTCCGTCTGTCCGAGTTGGCTGTGTCCGTGTCGTAAATGAGCCAAACTTCCACCAACCTCGACATACTATCCCTGATGCTCACGCTTGAGGGCTTTTCAATAATGTGTTGTCAACCACAACCAAGGTAAACCCAACAGCCAATCACAGCGAAGGTAAATATCACAAGGGATAACTTAAAGAGGAAACAAGTAAGCTGCCTGAAGCGCGGGAAAACGCGCGTTACCAAGGCGCCATTGGTTTCAATTTTACACCTGATTGGTTGAGAGGGTAGCGCGTGTTTTCAAGACCAATCACAAAGCAAGGTAATGCAAAACCAAGTAAATTCAGATTATTTCAACTGAAAATGTTTACATGTTGAGTTCTCAGAAACAAGAGCTGGAGAGTACAAATCTTGTCTCACTTACTACAAAAAAACAGTACCTCAGTGATGTGATTAAAACTGACGTAAGAAGTGACCACCATTTTTCTCTGCGGTAATCCCAGGTGACTTTTCCCAACAACCTTAAAGAAGAAATCTACGAGGGTTATGAATAAATCCCTGAAAAATGCATATCTAAATGACATTTTGGTCTGAATTCCTCAATAAAGTTAAATGGAATATTAATCAACTCATTTTGTGGTATGTCAGCGTCTTTTCACGAAATTACTTTCACGCAACGGCCTCCGGCCGAAAGTAATTTCGTAGGAAGACGCTTCAAACGGCCTGGCCTGCCTGTGGTACAATACTTGATCACCACTGATTCTAAACTGAAACATTCTCTTATGCTACACTCACAATAAGGCTTTACTGTAATCTCTAGCATGGTAATACTCCTCACCCATCTGAACCACTGCAGAATTAACAAAAAAGACTTGTTGTTAACGTGAACATGAAAGAACTTCAGAGCATACAGTAGAAAATGATTAGCTTGCCCAGTTATCCATATGCAATATTAATCATCATTGTAACTACTATTCAACGTACAGTTGTATCCTTATGTTTTATCAAGTATTCTTATTGCATATTATTGTCATATTGATAATTAGATAAGAAAAGCCAATAGACCTCGACTATGTACACTATATCACTCTGCTTCGTAAATTTAATAAAAAAAACTTTTAAAAGCACTACATGTACATTGTCATGAAGAAACAAAAGCTTTTAGTTGCATCTTGCTAAGTTCTTAACCCTTTACACTCTAAAATCAGTCTATATATTCTCCATACTGTTCTTTATACATTTCCTAAGGTGCTGACAAGGAGATTTTGTTCACCAATCAAAAGCCTCTTTGGTTGGTGATCATTTCCTTTATTCTCATGACCTTAACATGTGATTCAGGGCTGATATTTTAGGGAGAAATTTGATGCTGGTCACTCTTAGGGTTTAAAGGGTTAAAGTGAAAAAAGAGAGAACTTACTCAGGTATCTCTTCATCCTGGGTGATTTGTACTTTTTAAACTGAGCCACTGCACTACTGAGAAGGGGAATGATAACCCACTGGGAGAAAAAAAAAAAGGAGCCAATATTCTATGTACCTCAACCAAATATACTACTGAGAAGGGGAATGATAACCCACTGTGAGAGAAAAAAAAGGAGCCAATATTCTAAGTACCTCAACCAAATATACAAAGTAGGTTAGCATAAATAAAGAGATTGATGGTAAGAGTATTTGCTAACAAGGTATTATGTAATACTGGCAATTGGGATTTCAAATTCATAATTGCTTTGGTTTGGCTAGAAAGCTCATTGATGCAATTGTGCGCAACCAAAAATTTACAGTCATATTAACCTTGCATTTAAACTTAATTTGTCACCATGACTTCTCCCTGACATTTATCTGATCTTAATTTTCTTGAAATGAAAGTCTGCCAAACAATACAGTGCACTTACAGAATGGTCCACTTGGATTTCTTGGGACTGCAAGGCTATAATTCCAGCCTTCTCTATTCCTGCATCTGGTGGTTCTGTTCCTACAAATATATTAAGTCAAATGAACCCAGCAGTTCTACAAATTAAAGGAAAGTATTGCATCTCAACAGATCAAGTTTCATTCCGACAGAGTGTTTTTAATACACAAAAAGTTTTCTCTTATCAAATGGAACAAAATTCTAACACTGAGCTTTTCAACCAGTACATGGTTTAGCAAAGGAAACTTACTGAGTGTCTCAACACCTTTTGTACTTACTCTAAAAAACACTGCCAGAGGAAAAAAATTATATATTTGCAGTTACCTTGAAAACCTTGTCTCCAAGGTCTCTGACCATAGAAGTCGAGATTTCCAGCATTTTCTAAGGGATTCATAGTAAGTGGAGTGGTAGTCTAGAGATGAATTAATAACAGATTCCAATGTATTAACTAAAAAGTAACTCATCAGACTCAATGAACAATAAAAGTTAATTACATGCAGAAAACAAATGACCCTTTTGAGTGGTAGTTAATTAGTTTTTGGTTAGGTGTACTTTGAAGGGAATCTATGACCCTTTCTTGCCACTAGTTTACATTCAACATTATCCCACACTACAAGGGTGGTTTAAAGTCTAAGGCAATATTACTTATATCAAAACCTCCCTGCCCCTCCCCCAAACAATTTCAAATTTTGTGTGCTTTGTAAACGTTACCAGGATGTAGTGCCTAAACTTACCAACATTGTTAGAGGGGGGGAGTTCTATGTACACAGCTGAATTGGCAAAAGATGGCCTTTTGTAATATGTTTGGATTTAGGATATCTTTTTGATAACTGTCCGAACAAGCTTTGACCTCCATTGTAGCTATGTCCACCCATGTGCACAAGTATGTAGCCCAATTTATCTGGGTAAGGCCCTCCAGGAAAAGTTCTTTGGAAATAATTTGTACTTCAAAATTAACTAAGGCCGACAGTTCTAGTCTTCAAATTTTTATTGGTAAGTTTCAACTAATGATAAAAAAATGGTCACTTTCATTAAGAAAAATATTGCTCCTTTGAGTTTGTGTCTGTCACTGTTCCTTCAGATCTTTCTCAGCAATCCTCTGGCATGATAATAATTTTACTTACATGACACAAGCCCTGGCAAAGCTGTCTCCTGACAATGGCATTGTTTGCTGCTTGTTGATAGTAAAATCCTGGGTGTTGAGTCTGTAATAAAGTAACAGTTAAGTCTTTACCAGAATCTGAGAGTATGACTGATTTGGACACTCTAATCAGTCACTAGACCAGATTTGTTTGGGCACATTTACATCAATCCTATTTATTAAGGTGCCTCTCTCTTTTATAGCCAAAATTTAATTAGGGAGAAAAGATCATCATGATTGTTAAGAGATGACAAAAAGTACCTTTAAAACAGAAAAACACTCCATTATATTGCATACAATTATCATAAGAGATATAGCATAATGGGAGACAATTTTTTCTTTATTCTAAATACCAATTCAGAATACTTAGTAACATAATTAGTAAGAATTTCTTTCTCTTCTTACAGATCTATTGTTGTTTGTAGATTTAATAAATAAATATTTCATTCATTAAACCAATATGCCAACACAGATCTTCTACATTGTTACCTGTAAGGCGGTTAAACCATTTCTGATGGCTTCATCAAACAGTTCTCCAAATAAACTGAACCTGTGTTAATTTTTCACATAGTTTGTTATTGATTAAGCCTCTATAATTCCCTACCATACAGCATGTTGTATTAACTTTGACAATTATTCATCATTGAACTGACTAACAATTATTTAAAAGTCTCCTGTTTTCATCATTTCAGTTCCATTATGTTGAAAAGTTCAGTCAAAAATTTCACTTCAACTTGACCTGTTCTTGATCTAATATTGTTAAGAAACAAGAGTTGTTAGATCCTGGTCACAGCTTGGGTTTCTTTGAAAGCAAAAACCTTCTAGAACACAAACCAAAGAGGACTCACCACATCAAAGCTTACCATGGTTTCTGTAGCATAAAGAGACTAAAAGTTCTCTCTCTAGATTTGATGCTACATATAGGTCTTTTAGATTACCCCCTACCCCCACCCCCCAGCATTTTTGTCAAATTCCCTTCATAATTGGCCGATACTTATTTCAACTCTGGGGTGGAGGGAGGTACTTTAGCTGTACATATGTAAGTGCCCAAAAAACAAACTGAATGCAGACCTTCCAGTTAAGAGTGAGGAGGCTAAACAGAAAAAATACTCACTGTTTGGAGAGCCAGGCTGAGTGTTCAAAGGCTAAGTCAGGGCAGCCAACCTTTTCCTTAAACAAATCCACATGCTTTCTGAATTGTGATATGGCATCTAATGGGGCTGATGCTTGGAAACTTAGACGACAAATCTGTGAGACAATTAATAAAAATTGATTAATACTGTTTGGTTGTCAGGATAACTCAAAAGTCTGTAATATATGTTGTAGGAGGGATATAAATCACCAGATATATTGGTCCCATAGGACATTTAAATTCCACTGAATCTAAATTTAGCATCAAATGTTTTCAAAGATATTTGGTTTTTTTGTGACCACTCTGCCAATAACCATTTTGTTTCTGTTTGTCACTGTTTCCAAAACACTCCTGTAAGTGACCATATTAAAAAATGTTGGACACATTTTTGGTACTGTTTCTCATAAGCAGTCACTGACAGGTTTGTTATAAAATCAGAGAGAAATAAGGAATATTTCATCAACATTGTAAGTGACACATTCTATAATGTAGTTTCATTCTGAAATGAAATTGGATGGTTAAGTGGGTAAACTGATTTCAAGAATTAATAAATACCAAATAAGTACTGTACCATAGTTCACTCGTAACTTTCTGATTATATTTTTCTAAAATAAACTTTTTAAATGGCCACCTCCCTAAAGTGCCCACTTAAGAGCGACTTGACTGTTCACCTCAGACTTAGAATTACAGATGGAGATCTTTTGATTTAACAGCACAATTAAGGTATCTGGTGAAAAATTTACCTTGCATATTTGACAAAAGGAGTACATAATCCCAAAAATTGTAAAATTACGTGATAAGAGATCATGTCTTTAACTCATCCAAGATGTACAATGTCTTCTTCACATCATTACTTTTATGTTACTATTATTACAATGGTATACACCAAATATATATTGATTAGAGTTCTAAAATATGAAAAAACACAAACCTTGTAATTAATAAATCCAGCAACAACTTTGATCTCTAGTATGTTCATGTCAGTTGTCTTGATTTCTCCAAGAAGACTGTATGCTTGCCTGTAGTGCCTGGGGTTAAAAATTAAAAAAGTCTTACATCAATCAGCTGATGTCTGGTATGTTAATATGCAAATGTAACTAACTTGGGAGTTTATGTTGAGAGATCTCCAAGGCAGGAAGACTGAAAATATTGGGGGAAGAAATCTGTGGCAGGAGTTGCCAATTTTGTAAACTGTCTTTGGCTGTCATGTGGCAAGGCAGAACAACTTTTAACTCTCTGTCATTTTCTTTCATAAAAAAAAAAATTGCTCCTTCTCCTCCACTGTCCTAGTTCTAAACCTTGAGATACCTTGTGAAAATCCTACACTAATTGCTGGTCATTTCAGAGACAAGCATTGCTGTCAGCTGAAAGTATATTGTTTAATATTCTCACAAGGTGTCCTTTTCAAAATTTTCATTTCTACTTTTCCTCTTTATATTTTCTTTTCTCAAAAAAGTTTCTTAACAGAAAGTTGGCTAATACAGCCCTGAAAGTTCCTTTTCTTTCCCTTAACTGAAAAAAAGGGAAACACTGAGATCTACCTTTTGGCCAACTAATTGTTGTCATTGTAAGATCAATAAAAAAATAAATACTGAGGAACTTACTTGATAGCAGAGTGAGGGTCTTGTCTTAGCTCATTGAAAAAGGCAACCTTGAATTGGTGTCGCACCAACAATAGCTACAACAACAGTAGAGAAGCAAAATAAGAGATTTATGAATTGTTGAGGCCATTTGCAAAGCAAAATGTGGTCAGTGATGTCTTTGGTGGAATATAATAATAATATATATATAAGAGGGTAGCAAAAAAAAGACACCGAATGAGAAACATTTCAAAGTAACACCCTTCAAAGCTGACATCAACAAGCTTTTTCTGCTATGAATTCTTGGTAACTCTTTCCCTCAGCCTTTCATTAAATGTAGTTCTGTAGTTTGAGTAGAATCGATCACATCAAATTATTGACATACAAAGATCACTTTTGCAAATTAAAGTTCTCACCTGATGAGTTCCTTTGTTAAGAAATTCCTAATGATCATAAAGAGCATGAAAACATAATAAGTGTCTCTTCATTCCGTATATTGATAAAATTTTACTTTTTGTGCTACAACAAAATTATTTTGATGGTAATTCTGGCTAGTGAAAAGGTAATCTATAAAAACATTACATTGCACTACCAGGCAAGTTATACAGGATTGTACATGACCCAGAATTTTGGCACATTTTCCAACAGACAGTTTTAGTTACTGATACTTTTCTGTCCTTGATCTGAGAAGAGAAATTTACTTAGTACAGGGGGAGTGTCCTACTAAAAAACCCAATGGCTTTAGCATGAATTTATGTCGAACTAAGGCAGTTAAACCAAAAGAGTCCAAAAAGCTAACCAGAGTGCTATCTTTTCCCCTTTTACTGACTAGTTGAAAATTCAATTCAAGACACTCAGAGACTGTGGCCTCATCTTCAATCTGTGTCATCCATCTACGTATCATCTATGTACAAGACGATGTAGACAGTGACAGTTGAAAATAAATTTTAGACAAGGACCATTCAACAGTGGACAAAGTTTATTACATTTGCCACTGCATCTCCCTAGTTTCTGTAGCATGAAGCAAATACAGGCTTGTTGCTTCCTCCTGGCTGGGATTTTAATAACTTGACCTTCTCCCTACTCCCTTAAATTTCCAGAATTGCAACCTCACCTTGTGGGCTTTAACTCTCCTACATTCTCCATGGTAATAACTCTGTGCTAAATCATAAAAAGCATTCTCCAGCCTTACAAAAAAAAGAAGAAGAAGAAATATTTATCTCATAAGTTTCAAACCTGTTCCTTTTTTATTTTGAAGAGGCATGAATTTCATGTCCCATGAATGACTACGATAACTTGTAATATGATCATTCAACTGTTTAACTCCCATGAGTGACCAAGACAGAAATTCTCCTTACAATATCAATACAATATCAACTAGATTAGAGATGAGAATAAAGAAAAATATCAATTTGGGGATAAGTAGTTGATCTGATCAAAAATTCTCCAAAATAATATTATAAGAATTGTATGGTTGACAGTAAGGAGAATTACAAATTTGATCTGGGAGTTAAAGGGTTAATCAGATGAAAACACAAATCAATAGAGAGGCTGTTAACTCTCTTGGGAAAGTCTTGATAAATGCTGATAACATCTGATTTTCTGATAGATATTCCCTTATTTTTAAAACATTCTCATCCCATGTAAGTAACTAAACAACTTGTAGTGAGTCTAAAGTTAGTTTAACCCTTTAAGTCCCACCAGTGACCAAGACAAAATTTCTCCTCACACATCAGTACAATATCAAGCAGACAAGTAATGAGAATAAAGAAAAAATATCCAGTGGAGGATTATTGGTTGATCCAATTCCAAATTCTCCACACAAACATCATATGAATTGTATGGCAGACAGTAAAGAAAATTACTAATGAAATCTTGAGACTGAGTTAAAGGGTTAATAGAGTCTGAGGCTTACTCATGTAAAAGCTTTTCAATTTCTTTCTACTTCACTGTCACTTTTTCCAAATAATTCTAACTAACTTAGTCTTTATTGTGTCCTGTTTTGTAACTTTTCTTGATCAGCTACAATAAATACAATAGAAAAAATATGAAACTCTTACTAAATAAATCTTTTCCTATATTTGACAAAGGTTGGGCTTTTACATTCAACTGCAAACTCAATGAAAACCAATCTCATCAAAATCAATCTAAAATGATAAATTTTGTTCGTCAAATACCTAATTGTGTAGCCAATCAAGTGATCTGTATGTGGAAGGACAAACAATGATTTGGCTGACAGGTCACATGCACTGCACAGTGTTGCTGCCCTCTCTAGTGCTTGCAAATCCCCAGGTGGAAATCTTATTAAGATCTTACTAAGATTCTTGTAAGTTTCTTACTAAGATTCTTATTAAGATTCTTAATTAAGAATCTTGTAAGACCTTACAAGATCTTGTAAGATCTTGTCACAAGATTCTTACAAGAATCTTGTAAGATCTTACAAGATCTTGTAAGAATCTTGTGGTAAGATCTTGCCAGATCTTGCAAGATTCTTGTAAGAATCTTGTGACAAGATCTTACAAGATTCTTGTAAGAATCTTGTGACAAGATCTTACCTGATCTTGTAAGATCTTACAAGATTCCTGTAAGAATCTTGTGACAAGATCTTACCAGATCCTAAGATTCTTAACTAAGAGTCTTGATAAGTATCTTAGTAAGAAACTTACAAGAATCTTACAAGATCTGGTAGGATTCCTGTGACAAGAATCTTAATTAAGTACCTTCACAAGTTTTCAAAAGAACTTGTTAAGATTCTAAACAATGTCTGAATGATCTCTAAAAGAACTTACAAGAACTTGTGAGATTTTCAAACAACTTACAAGAACTTTTGCAGAATCTGTAAAAATTCTTAAATATCACATTTTTTTCAGACCATAGTAGGTAACTGATGGTTTATGCAATATGCAGTAACTGGATGATCGAGGAATGGAGATCACAACTAAGAAAGAATTTCTTCATCCAACATTTAAGCAAAATTTATTTCAAATTCTCAACACTGTGAAATTAATTACTAAAAAAGATCTTGATAAGAAACATTAACTGGTAAACATGCACGATTTAAATGACAATTGTACAAGAAGAGTTCTTGTTCTTCCCTTCGGTGTGTTTTAAAAATCTAAAAAAACAATTGTTTTAATTGTTGGAGTCATTTGACAGTTTGATTTGAACTACCATAGTTATCCTTTCACAAAAAAGCCATAATAACTAAAGGCATGTCCCAGTTTTAAATTGTTCTTCGTTTGATTCAAACTGAAATAGTTTTTCTTTTTTTAGAGTAATTTAAGCATGAAAACAAAAAAAAAACAACAAAATTTTGTATTGCAGCAAACGTGTTCAAAGAATTAAAGCTCACTATCACTCATCTAAGTTGGCATTTTAGTCAATTTGACAGCTACTTGACAAGTAAATTTGCATATGTTTCAATTTTGTACAAATATCAACCAAACCTTAGTTCATTCAGTCTACGGACTTGTCAACATTGCCCTCTACATTTTGAACTTTTCTCTTGGAATCCAAGCAATTTTTTTATTCAAGTAGAGCCTTATTTGAGACCACCTCTTATTCATTTGGGCATCACCAAATTTCTGTTTTATGGCTCCTGTGGGAAGAAAAAAAGAAAATAGTAATTTGTATACAGGTACAAAATATACTAAAAACCTTGAGAGCGTATTTTTTAAAATCCCTGCCAGAGAGGAGTAATAGGAGTTTGGTTTCATTGTACATCTAAAATGAAATGTAACATGTTAGGAGACAAGAATCAAGATTGGAAAAAAAACCCTCAGTGTTTAAATAATTAAGTATCATAATCTATTGTCTGCAGTAGAATTGTTGCTCTGACTTCAATTCCATCTTTCAGTAGCCTGACTTGTGAGGAGTACTTACTAAGATAGAGGGGAGGAGCTTCTCAATGGTTCTCCTTGATCACCATCATGCCTCATCTGTATGCAAAGAAAAGGAGGTAGTGACTATCTTTAACAAGAATTTATCATCTTTAAGAGCAAAATTTTTATGTACAAGTTCCCAGTTATGAATCTTGGCAATTTGCACTGCCCAACTCCAATCCAACAAACTTTGTTTACGCTTTGCACTGCTGAAACAGCTATTCCCAATTCCCACAAAAAGTTGATAAATGAAAAATTACCTTTTTACAATCAGAGGAGTTGCCACCCTTCTATCCCATTCTGTGCTTGTAGCATTAAGATGGGACTCAAAGTCTACTTTATTCAGGATACAATCATTTTTACAGGTGATCCTATCTCTCCAGTTCTCCTGTGAATATGAATTGAAAAAATGTTTACATTTCTTGAGCAATCCCTCCACTGAATTAAGTTTCATTAACCTTTAGAACAAAGAAAATTGTGAGAAAGGGAAGCAAGGAATCATAACTCAGCATTAAATGAAAACCAGAAAAAAATACACACACATTCACAAAACAAAACAAATAAAAACTAAACAGAACCAAACAAAATACAAAAAATGTTGCATGGAATTAATACAGGTATTGAATGTATTAGAGTAAAATTAACAGGATAACAGTGCCAAAATTCTGCCTTAAGCCATCTAAGTCAATGAAGTCTTGAAGGGGGGGGGGGGGGGAAATGAACTATCATGCACCAACATTGAGTATTTAGAGTTCTTACATCATCAGAAGAACTTCCCATTTTTGGTAATTTTGTTTGCTTTTGGGAAGATTTCCACTACTGTGGACACGGCCGTGATAATCAAACCCAGTTTGGCTTTCATCATCATCCTCACCAGTGGAAACTTTTAAGTAGAACGTGGCAATTTATAATTATTTGGGAATAAAGGAATTCCATAATCGATTTCGCGTTGTTATTGCACCCTTCTAGTTTAACTTCTAGTGGTTATTAGTAAAGCCGAAGACAAATTAATTGTTTATTGTGAACCATTTCCATGCGAGACGACTGGAAGCTACGATGATTCTGCCTACAACACTTAAATCCAGAACAATCTGGATTAAAACTGACTTGAGAGAATTGCTACAAGTGCAGTAAGGTTAGCAGCCGCCGTTACGGGGTTTTGATGATGATAGCGTTACATCTCGTGTCAGTTTCCACTCAATTCTAAACAAAAACGCTTCCTGACGAAATCGAACCCTAACGAGATTTTATGATTTGCCTTGTATAAAAATACCGTGGCCTTGCAATTACATAAACTTATCGTCACTTTTTTCGTCCATGCTGAAAGAATCTAAAAAGTGCGAGAAATAAGTCTATCGCATCACCTTCCAGATGTGTAATGTTGATAACGTGAACTTAATGAATAAAAGTCAGTAGCACTTACCTTCGGGATGATTTGCCTTCATTTGCTTCATTACCAGTCGTGCACTAGTGGTTTTTTTAGAAATCTTCTCAAGATACTTAAACTACCAAGACCAATGTGTTCCTTGAGTTATAAAGCGAGTGTCGTGCACAAAGATCATACGTGTGCTTTCTATGTGCTTAGATGTGTAAACTATTCACCTGAGGCCCCTTCACGTGACAGAATAAAACAAGGATATCGCAACCTTGAATGTGTAATCGTAGTGTTCTTTCACAAGAAAAGCAAAACGCGATTTATCTCCTCTGGTGTGCTGTAAACTCATGTTACTTACCGACTGCGTCATTTTCTGTATTTTAAGCGACAGTAACATTAGTTATTTTGTAAAGAACTTGGCTTGTAAAATCCTAATTCTCGAGATCATTATTCTTCTTCAGGGCTTTAGACACAATTAAATTTCACAACGAGGTAGATAACACTCAACCAAAGTAAAATTTCTGTAAAACTTTGCCGAAACGAAATGGCGCGAGAACGGTTGACAACAACGGTCGAGTGAACAATTTGTAATTTTGCGCCGGCCGTAGCGGGAGACTGGGGAAAACCTTAGTGAAAGTACAAAATGTCACGCAACTCTCGCAAGTATTTTGTAAGTAACTACCTATAAACTTTTTTAAAATACTTTTAATTTCTGCCATCTGACCGGTCTGCAAATTTCCGATGTTTATTTGTTATTATTTTGTAAAGAATTTGGTTGGTAAAATCCTAATTCTCAAAATCATTCTTCTTCTTTAGGGCTGTAAGGCACAGTTAAATTTCGCAACCAGGCAGACAACACTCGACCAATGTAGAATTTCTGTCAAACTTTGTCCGAAACGATATGATGCAAAAACAGTTAACAACAACGATCAAGTGTACAATTTGCAATTCTGCGTATGCGCAGTGGCGTGGAATGCCTTGGTGAAAGTACAAATTTCATGCAACTTTCTTGAAAAATATTTTTACAAGTAGCTAGCTATGAATTTTTTTTTAAATACATCTTTTCACTCTGCCATCTGGCTGGTCTGCATACTGCCATATTTTTTTTTTCTGAACCATATCAGCGAAAGTCTCTTGCTTGTGGAATGTGGTGACATTATCTATGGGTGTCTTTATGTTCAAGGCAAAGATGGGAAGGTTAAATCCCTTTCTAGACACTCCCTATGAACATGATTAGTGATTATTTAAACTAGCTGTTCAGTATATTTCATAATCAATCATCAAATGTAATCTGAAAAGTCTGTCCAAATTTAATCTGCTGATACCATAATTCCAGTGGAACAATTACCTCTTTAGAAAGCAGCTGCATGTATATTGTGTTCTCAGGTCTGAAATTTACACACCATACCATAGAAGCTTACTTGACGTTATGTGATCCCCTTTTGGACATGGCATTTTTCACATCATGTGTGAGAGGTTTTAAGCCTTATGCATCCCCATGCTCTCTTATGAACAGAACAGGATAAGCATTTCAAGTTACTCAAGAATGTACTGGAATAAACTTGATAAAATCTTGTCAAGAACATTTAAATTCCTACTGATCTTAAAATTTTGATTCTTACAAAACTCTTAGATGAACTTTAGATGAAATCCTGTCTAGAATCTTAATGATGTTACATTTACAGATCTTACTTCATTATTAAGATTCTTAAACAAACTTACCAAGATCTTGTCAAGAAGCTTGTAAGATCTTCCTTTTCTTAAAGATTAGGATTCTTACAACTGAGATTCTTAAGTGAACTTTATATGATGTTGTTAAGAACTTTCAAGATCTTAATGCCCATGTGTTGTAAAATTTTTTTTAGGATTCTTAAAAGATTCTTAAATAAACTTAATAAGATCTTGTTGAGAACCTTTCAAGATCTTAACCCCATTTCTTGTAAAATTTTGTGAGGATTCTTACAAGATTCTTAAATAAACTTAGTAAGATCTTGTTAAGAACCTTCCAAGATCTTAATCCCCATGTGTTGTAAAATTTTGTCAAGATTCTTACAAGATTCTTGTATAAACTTAATAAGATCTTTTAAGATCTTACAATGCTCAAACCTGGTTAAGATTTGTTCAAGAATTTGGCAAGATCTTATTAAGATTATTAATTCTTAATAAGATCTTAGTAAGATCTTCATCTTAATTGCCATCTTATAAGATTCTTACAAGATCTTCCAAGATCTTACAAGATCTTCCAAGATCTTAATAAGATTTCCACCTGGGTCATCACCTGTGATTCATTATAATAGCATAAATTTCCTCCATGAAGGGTACTCAAGTCCTTGGATACAGGAACTAATATGAAATAATGTATTTTTTTCTGAAGCATGTCAACAGGTTGGAATCTTAAATTCTTGACTTTGATTGGCTAATTGTACTCTAGTCACTGGTCCAGCTTGTTAAAATACAGTTTTACAATCATGTTTTTCTATGTGGGAAGAAACTGTGCCCTTGACCTTGATTACAGACACCACTCTTGAGTCATACTCAACACTTTGGGTGCAGTTTTTCCCCATTTTCCAGCCCATGCATAGCTCAATAAATGACATGTAACTCTCATTGTAATGCCTCTGGCAGATTTTTAAGATAGACCTGGCAGTCACTTATGGTTTGACGTTAGCATGAAAACACTAAACATGGATCTAAACTCTCTACTTAATAACATCATCTTCTGACTTCTATGTATTTATTGATGTTTACCTGGAGGAAGAGGAGCATTCTTTTGGATAAGAACCACAGCAACCTTAGTGTTCTGGTCTTGAAGGCTGGTCCTGCTCAGAAATTAAAAGATTGCTTTGAATGGTTTAATATGCAGGATTGAAGTTATAGAATACAAAATTATTCATTGTACTGGTTATATTTTTTCGCATTCAATGAGCTGATAAGTTCGAAAGTAACAACTTCAAAAGTTGTAATGTTCTTATTATAACTTACAAGTATCTGATTGTTGCTTAGTAAAGAAGGAGGTTTCCAGAGTGTCTGTTGTTATGACAAACGTATTTCATGGTTGTTATTTGAATAGCACTCTAAATCACAGGAATTGTTAATTAAGCTGATGATTGGACAAAAGTCTTTTTCTTTTGTTTATTAAACAATTGTTTTTTGCTCAAATTTATGTGTTAGTTTGATATATTATTCTGTGTGTGTATCCATTAGAGAGCGTGGAATAAAGTTTCTGAGTTGTACAATGTCATAAAAATCAATATATACAATGGAACCCTCTTGTCTAAAAATCAAACCACACTTGTCATAATACTTATTAATAATTTTCAGTCATGTCATTAGTGCTGATTAAAGTTCGCTGTTATAGAGGGGTAAGATAACATTCTCACTCTCTTGTTATTACCTGACTCTTTCTAGTTTTGAAGCACATTCAGTTTGCCTGTCTTTCCACTGAACGTCATCCCAATCCAACTCATAAAACATGACCACCACAGCAGGAGAGAGATAAAGATGTTTGTGCATCCATTTTGTCTTCAAGATACCCTTTGGTATGTACCACTCATAGGTAGACCGCTACAAGGAAACAAGACTCAGTGATAAAAAGCCAGCATATACTCGCATAAGCAGAGGTCTAAGTAACTCTGGTTACAGGAGGCCTACTGCTTCTGTGAGGTATTACATTCCTATGGCTATCTGCTAAGATTTTCAATGTTAGTGACCCCACTCATGGCTGTGTCTGCCCTCACTTATGGAAAATGTTACTGAGACCCCATGCACACCTACAAAGATAAAGGTTCTCTTAACACTTCAAATCCCACGAGTGACAGGGACAGAACTTACTTCTAAAATTTCAATGCAATATCAGACAGACAAGTGATGAGAAAAAAGAAAAAAGAAAAAATTAGAGGATCATTAGTTGATCCAATTCCAGATTCTCTGAACTAACATCCTAAGAATTGTACGCCAGACAGTACAGAGAATTACTAACGAAATCTTTGGAGGGAAAGGTTTGAGAGAGTCAGAACTCAAGGAAGCAAGAGAATGCTTCCTTGGAAAAAAAACCCAGGAGTACAATTGATTTGTGATTAACTCTTTTGATGATTTTGTGGAAATCACTCATAGAACTTTCTTTGTAAAGAGAATAAAGGAAATGATCACCAACTACAGTTCTTGATTGTTATCTTAGGAAAGTATTGGGAAAAGTATGGAGAATATTCATACTGATGTTCGGGTTTAAAGGGTGAGCTTCCACTGTACTGAAAGAGCTTAAATGTAACCAAAATAAGAAGAATTTCACGTAATCAAAGGATTTAAGAGTAACTACACTTAAAAGCGATAGGAAAGCTCACCTTTGATTTTGCTTTGGGAAATTCGTGATCAATTGGTAAAAGTCTGAAAGATAGTGGAACTCTCTCAGGATGCCTGTTCACAGAAAAAGACTCCCAGATAGCTTTGTGCAAAGGTTTTTGATTAATATCAAGTCCCATAAGAGCTGTGAGACCCAAAGGACGGGTCGCCAGTTCTGTCGGAAATTCGCTGGCTGCCGCCATCTTTGTTTAGGCTAGAAATGTAACCTGGCCGGCTGAAACGTTGACCGGTAGTGACTGGAACGGAAATATATATAGACTCAGATTTTTTTAGCAGTAGTGGTGAATGGCTATCAGCGATTAAGTCGTTTTGCTTAAGGGTCGTTTCTTTAACGACCAGTTGTTAGCTATAAAAGCGTCTTAGGTCGTTTCGCCAACGTTTTAGGTTATTTCACCAACATCTTTGGTGCTTTCAGCCACTGGCGCTTTCTTTCAGATATTTCAAAGCCAATCAACTTTAAACCAGCTTATACCTCCCTACCATGGGTCGAACGAGAATTTTCCGCATGGCAGGTGCTGTGCGTTTCACTCAGTTTGGTCTCATTCACCGTGGACGAATGAAAACCTCCAAATTTATCCCTTACTTTGTATCGAAATGACTTGAGTTGTGTCAAATCGATGGTTCTGCGCGTATCTTATCGACTTTGTCGATAAGTATCGAATCGACTTAAGCTTGGCTTGAATCGAATCGCTTTGGATGTTTTTATGGGTAATTGACGATCACTGCCACCAAAGCTCGGACGGGCTGGATAACTTTCCAAACGAGCCAACTCTCAAGCGTACAGAAAATATCCCCGGCCTCGCATAGTTTGCCAAGTCCCCTAGACGAAAGGAAATTTGATTACTCTTTCTTTTACCACTCTCAAAACCTGTTTTTTAAATCATTTTTATTATCTTTTTACTCTTGGACAACTTTTTCTCGATAACTCGGTTACCACCGGAAGGAATGCGTGATTTATGATTTGCTCATGTCGTCCAGCGTTCACAATCTCGTTCTTTCTTACGTGATATGTACTTGTAAGACCTGATATGGGCTCGATACAGCTTTCCCGTATTATACGAGTGATTCATGACCTACGATAACCGCTAAATCTTGTATCAGTGTTGTATTTCCGAGGTGTCAAAGACATTGATGAGAGATCAAACATGAATAGCAAACCATCCTCGTTCATTACTTATGCCGCCAGTTGTCTGGGGTGGCTAAGTTATGAGAAAAAATTGTGGCCGAGGCAATAAGCAGCTGGGTACGAAAGAGCCAGCTGCGAAAAACGTCGCCGAAGGGGAGGCGGGGGTGAAAATTTCTTGAAAGTTGCAGGTTCTGATTCTCTTTGAAAATGCCCCAAATCTAAGCAACAAATATTTTAATCCTTACAACTTGGTATGAATATCTCCATAAAGCTAAAATGAAATGTTAATCAACGCATTCGTGATGACTTTATGTTAAGCGTTATAAAAGTTCTATGAATTCTCAGTAGTTCTCATTGATTTATTGCCCAATCATAACTCTTCTTCGTTGTTCGCTTGGAAAATTCGTTTACGTCACCCGTAAATTATGGTATTCCTTTGTGGTGCACCCTCTCCCAGGAGAAATCCAGGATTGTCCCTGTCTTCAATACCTGCCAAGTACTATTGTTTCTCAAAAGAGTCTAAATTGAAACGATTCACGTAATTATCATAAATCGAGTACCTATTCAGTTAGCGAGACGATTTTTATCGAGTTAATTCTCCCCGTTTTACTGCGACCGATCCAAGTACGCTTTGCCTGTGTAACACTGGGGAAACGATACATTACTATTAGATGCCAGTGAGATACATCACAGCATGGAATGTTCCTGTTCTGTTCTGCATTTGAAGATCTCTTTGAAGTGACCAGCAGGCCAAGCTTAACGCGTTTGCAGTTTAAGTAACGAGTCTAAAGTCGTGTCGTAAGGAACACTGAAAAGTGTTTGTCTTTTGTCGAGCACTTTCACATGATGAGACGACCAGAAGTGGTTTTGTTTGTGAGTGTGATCTTCGAGCTTGGGTGAGTGTCAATACAAATGATGTGATTTAAAATGGAAAACATTCCATCGCGCGTGCAAAATGCCTATTGTTCTCGAGACATTTACTTGCAGTAGCGAAAAAATTCTAGATCCGTAATAGAAGCGGCGAAGCGTACACGAGATGGTTTTAATTGGTCGTGATTTTGTGCCCCTTCCCTCGGGGAATAATGGCATAGCTCATTAACTTATCAGGGCTGGGTTAAGAGACAAAGGAATAAAGAGGGTAAGTTTCTAAAGAAAATGTGTGCTACGTCGGTGGGAGAGTGTAACAGGGTAATTAAGTATTATCAATTGACTTGATAACGAAACTGGCCACCGTAAAGAGTTTAAAAGCTGACATTTCGAGCGTTAGCCCTTCGTCAAATTTATCTTTCAAATCGGCACTCTTAATCCCCACGGTATCAACGAGCGATTTTCATTCAACTAATTTTTTTTTTGTAAAGTTGTTTTCCCGTCACCACATTCCCACTAATGTAGCGTAGCTCCATTTTCTGCACAAACATTTTTAAACCCATACACAATCCACAGTTCCTCCAATCCCTCCAACGAAGGGCTAACGCTCGAAACGTCAGCTTTTAAACTCTTTATGGTGGCCAATTTACGTTATGAACTCAGTTGATAATGCTCAATTACCCTGCATAGAGACAAAGGCCGCGCAAAAGTTATTCTTTGTGCTATTGTTTCGTCTTATCACACATCTACCCGATGATTTTTAAAGCTGGCTATTCAATGTACTTAAGCTTTCCAAAGGCGGTTCGCGCATGAATTTCTGCCAAAGGCAATTGCATGCCAAAAAAATCTTGTTGAAAATTGTGAAATCAACAAATATATCACGTCATTACAATTTTTGCAAACAATTTTTCCCAGCTCCGAATCTGATCATCCGAAGAGTTTAGTCGCTCAATTTCTTAGAAAACGCTTCAGGCGTGTAACTTAAGGTTTCTCCAAATCATTTTCCGTTTATGGAACCTGGAACATGCAAGTGAAAGCTTGATCCAAAGTTTTGTTGTTTTTGCCAGCAACTTCCACGCAACTATTAAACTCACCTGTACTCTTTTTGTTATCAGAGTTGTTTTCCTTTTCATTAAATTCTGGTCGAATGAAACATCGGCAAAGTATTTGTACGCCCGTTGGTTCTCGTGCGAATCTTGTTTTCGTGAAAAATCCTTGGGTTTACCGAGTTCGGTTGATGCGTAAGATATGGTAATTCCTTTGTTTGGCCAAACGGCGAATCCTAATGCAATGTTGATTTAATTTTGTTTAAGGATGGGGATAAGTTCTACCCGAAAGGTATTTGGTAGAGAAAGCACGGCACAGAACACATTTTTGCAACGCGAGGGAGAGCGGCAATACGTTATCAAAGAGAAATCGAGTGGAGTCGATGATGGAGAGTTTTTGCTACTACGTCCAAACTATTTAGCGTCGGAACCAGAGGACATACCCGCTGGAATGACAAACGTGAAGCGTCCTGGTAGATTCTTAACTGCTGCCGTTGGGGATGGAATCTCGGACGACACGTCTTCCATTCAGGCCATCGTTAATCACGCTGCAAGTTCCAAAAATAATAAGGTATTCTTCCCTCGAGGTGAATACCTAGTAAGCAGTAATATGGCCATCCCTGGCCCGGTGGAACTTCACGGAACACAGAGCGGTATCGCAGTTATCAAGTCCTCAACTCCTTATGTTTTTCAAGTTTACAATGCTTCACCAGTGAAATCGGTTTCATTGAATAATGTGTACTTCGACGGAATTCGTGTGAATTTTGACGGTGGAGTCAATCGAGAGGTCCCAGGACCAACAGCTATGAGTAACGTTACCATAAACAGCTGTGTATTCTTTTCATCCGGAAGGCCAACTCCGAGAAACGCTGAGAGGGAGCAGTTGGAAATGATGGACCTTAGAAACAGTAATGTGTACAGAAACATCTTTTTGCGCGATTCTAATGCGTATGGAGTTGCTTCAAAATTTACCTTCACTGTGGGTGTAGAGGTGAGAGAAAACATATGTGGGCTGGATTTAGGCAAGATAGGTTGGTTAGCCACCAAAGTTGAGCCAGCATGGTACTGGCGAGATCAAAAACAAAAATTAGAATTCCTTATGACTCATTACAATCTGGAATCTGATCAAGGCTTCTTTCAAAGTTGTTGTTATGAAGAGTGCGACGAAAGGATGAGAATCGTGAAAAATATCTTCAACGGAAGCCCAAACACAGGTCGTTTCCGAGACCACGTGATGTACCTCAAAGGCTTCAATATGATGGAAGTTGTAAGTAATTACGTCAGAGGCTGGCCAGCGGGTTATTCAGGCGGCATTAAAGCTCGAAATGGAAAAAATCTATTGGTTGCCCGTAATTACCTCGACGACACAGGTATTTTTTTGTATACTCACAGAACAATCAATCCATGTCTCTTTAATGGTTTGAAGAACGTTTTCATCTACAGAAATCACATCGTGCAACGAACCAATCCTGGTCATCTCACAAGTGGTATCTATTATTACGAGCCCCATGATATTGGGATAGATTGGAACATCACTTACTCCGCTAATGTATTTGAGATCGTTGGAGTAAGCGACCCCACTAATTACATATGTATCTGGCTGACCAATGGCGATCTTTCTCAACATCACGTGCTCCAAGACAACTTCTATTATGGTACCAAAATGCCTGTGAAGCTGTATGCTGACGACAGTACTCCATTACATGAAACAGAGAAAAACAACGATAGTATTACAAATTGGTACAACTATCCACTGTACAAGCTACACATTCCCCCTTATTAGACAGTGCTAAATAACATCTATTGTTATTTGATTATCGAACTTTATTTGCATCGGTGATCGAAGAATTATCCTTTTTAAGATTACAGCGCTCCAGAAGGATTGAAGCGAGTGATGAAAGAATCAGTTTTTTCTAATTAAAATCAAAGTGTTCAGTTTAATTATAATCAAAGATGGAGCCGCTCTAAGTTAGGAACTTGCGCGAGCGGATATTTTTACCCGATTACTAAAGAACTTCAAGTTGGGGGTAACGTAACTTAAAGTTTGAGGTGACGCAACCATGTTTCGAGGCGACGGAACTTGGGGCGACCATCCAGGAGGGCAATTTGTCTCGTACCCAGGCCTTGTGCGGCCGGCCAAGCCTTTATATCAGTTACACAGTGGGTACGAGATTAGGGAACGACATCACCTGTTACACCTGTTACCTATCAAATACTATTTTATCTTCAAAATTTTAATTTCTTAAAAGGCACAAGAAAGTTCAATTGTGTGCAAGTGAAGAGAAAAGTGAATTTTTCTTTAACAAAAGGTATACTGGGACACTTCAGTACGACATAAGGGGGGTCGGGAGGGTGGTAGCGAGCAGCCGATTGAATGACTGATTGATAACTTTATTTATCTACAGAAAAGAACCCCTTCAACTTGATTTATAAGTAAAATATCTAATTCTGTTTGGCTATTCTATCAAATAAAGCAAGATAAATTCTGTCATGCCTGAGGCTGCTTTGCACATTAACATGGATGTTGCTACTAGCCTTTGGTGATTTGATGATTAAGAGTGTGTCCACGAAAGCACCAGGCAGTCTTGCTACGTGCCATCTCACTGATTCCAATGAAACTTTGCCAGTTTCAAGGGTCTACCCCAAAACTCAAAAAGACAAACTGGTTTCTGTTTTGTTTTTTTTCCGGGGGTGAAATGGACCACCCTCCCCCTCCCTGCATTTATCTCCCACGAAACGCGTGGGAGATAAATAAAAGTTTTTACCTTCTCAGTTTGTTCCGTCAAAAACGCTTTTAATTTGAAGTCACGTCGACCTCGACAGAAAAGTTAGGCTCACCCTGTCAGAATCAACAGTTTGATAACGTAAATATCTAATAAAGTACGTCATTGTGCTTTTATCACAGTAATGAAAAAATTTGCATTTGCTCACGCTCGCCACATTTATTCTTTGGAAAGTTATTTTACGGGAGGGCAATGTCACTTAGCTTGTCCTTTCTTGACTCTGACTGACGAAAATTGCCGACGATGCGGCGAGGTGAGCCCCATGAAATTATTGTCAAATGTTTTAAAAACTTTTTCTACCACAACAGAAACAAAAGCTGGTCGCTTACAAAATTTCAAAATGACTTCTAAATTTTGCTAAATCTTAATTTTCTCGTACAGGGCCAACGCACCTATGTAAAGATTAGTCTCTATAGCACCCAAATGACTCAACATCGTGAAGTCGGTTAATCAGGACTCTTTGAACTGTCTTCCGTATTGACCGTACACGATACGAAGGGGTCGGTGTTTTGAAACATAACTCACGGAAAGGTTTCCAAACAAACGCGGCAAGAATTCATCTCTTTAATTTCCTTTTTGAAGCAGAGCGAAGTGGAGGAGGGAGGGGGGTGGAACGTATAGGTTGGGGTAGGAATGAGAATTCCTCATGCGCACATGCGTGGACCGCATGCACACACTCCTACCACTTGCATCATTTATCCCACCACCTTGCCGCCTTAACAATGAACAACAGTGCTATCTGTTTTACTCTGTAACCTGGCTAAAACAAACGCTCACGATATTTTCTAAGATTTCTCTCAAGCTGTCTTTTATTTTAGCGTCTTTGAAATTACTACATAATCCCTAAAAAACCTTTGCCAAAATTGTAAAAGTGTGCTTATTTTGATTCCCTAAACAACATTTTGACAATGACCTGACTAAAAACAATTAAATCACTATGAAACATACATTATTCAAACATTTCAATGTTGACTTGTTGAACCAGTTTCAAAATATTTCCATGGTTACTGATTGGAACCTTGAAAGCTTTTTCCATGGTTCTTTTTGAAATCCATGAATTTTTTCAACCTTTTAAGCACTCAGAAGTATTACTGGAACTGACAAAAAGAAAAGCTTTTCCTAAAGATTTTACATAAAAAATTTAGGATTCTGTTAACGAAACCTATAACAAAAGGCTTTGTGAGAAAACCCTGTAAGATTTAACTGGCTCGTTTTTGATGCTTAAACTACTGTTTTAACTTTCCTGATTTCACTTAACTTAAGAGCCCTAAGTCAATAATGTTTCATGCTAATTATATCGGCCGGATAAGATAATTTTTGTGCAGAAAAAATATTCTCGGATACGTAACCAATACCTCCTTCTGAGAAGATCGGAAAACAGAATGTAAAAAATTGAAATTAATATCCATAATTTGAGGTTGCCCTTTCCTTAATTACACAATGAAATAACGGATAGAGTATTTTCTCTACTTATTCTATTTGGTTATCCATCTAAAAGTCTTTAAGGTCTGTTTCCTTCGTGCTATTCTCATCTTCTTTCCTGCAACAAACGTAAAAAAAAAAAATTATAAATAACTTAATAAACATTTCTTAAATAAAGGAAATACAGTTCTACCAGGCGTAATACGTAGGCAAATGTACACTTGCATCTGATTGGCACAGAGGCCCTTTCGAGATTCTATATTTTACATCCCACTGTAAGAATAGATTGTTACTCTTTGAAAGAAACAAAAAAAGGGTATAAAACCAACTTTGATACTCAAGCTGACAAAGGATCACCGCCGACAGTCAGCGACCAGTAAGTTAGAGCCACATTCGCATCTAATTTTAACTTTAATTTATGAAATACCTGTCCTCACTGAGTCTTACCTCTGCTTGCCAAACTCGAGCCTCACATCATCTCCAATCAGCGTAAACGAAGCCCACTCAGACACTTTGGTAAAGCCGTTTTTTCTCATCCACTTCATGGCCTGATGAAGGGATTCACCGGCACTTTCTCCTTCAAAAAGGTGTTTGTAGAACCGACTCATCAGCTGCTCTGTTGCTGAGTCTGAAATGGTCCACAGCGCAACCAACACAGAGCGAACACCGGATCCTAAGAACGCGCGGGCAATTCCTATAACTTCCTCGGCTCTCATCTGTCCACTTCCACTGTGAGAGCAGCTAAGCACCACCAGTTTAGCTCTGATTTTTACTCGTGAGACATCAGCCATCGTCAACATGTAAGCTTCCTGTGGTAGGATAGCGTTTCGACCGATAGGAGCAGGAATGGGAGAGAGGGCAATTTCTCCCCTCTCGGCGTTACAATGGGCAGCAAAATGTATCAGGCTCACTGAACTTATCCGCTCAAGTACCGCCTGTTTCGTTGCTTTCTCGTCTACCAGAGGCGGAACACCCACCAATCGTCCGACCATCTCCGCTTCCTTTCTTGCACCTGGCAATGGCAGCAGCCAATCAACCTTGGGATTGCCGATTATCAAGGCACCAGTGTTGCTGTGATAATCCTCTGGACTATCTTGAATGATCTTGAGTGTTCTCAAAGAAGGAATGACACGAATCTTATGAGTCTCCGACAGGTATTCGGCCCCCTCCTTTTCACGGAGAGCAGCAAACGGAACTTTGTACAAACAGCGGTCAGGGACGATTATGACTTCAGGCTCCTCAAGGAAATCATAAACGGGGGCAATAAACATTTTGTAACACAAAGATAGACTTGAAATGACTCCTTCGTTCTCGTCCTCGTGTTCCTCCACAAGTCGCAATCTTGCTGAGCTCTTTTGCTCGGGGGAGAGAGGTTGCAAACAATCTGCCAAAAATTTACTTAAAGGCAAATCTTTGGGCAACCCAGCCTGAACTAGATTCTCTTCCACAGATATTGTTTTAAAGTGAAGGACTCCACTTGTTTTCAAGGTCCACAAATGCAAATCATTTTGAAAATAAGAAACGTACAGACAAGCACAGTTATCTTCCTTTCTAGAGATGTCTTCAATGCCAAACCAAGATTGTGGATTAGCAGAGATGTGCGTTTCAACTGAGTACTTCTCTGCCATCAAGTCTGATAGGCCTCTAGCTCGAACCAACTCCTCAACGTAAAGAGCATGAAGAGCATCCCGAGAATTTGCGGTGGCACAAAGCAACTTACAAAGCAGCTTGTGGGTAAATGTTCCTGAGTCATCCAGAAATGATGTTCTGAACTGATCATTGGCACCCAAGAAAGATCTCAGCTCCTCATACTTTTCAATGCACAGGTAAAGACACAAAAGGGAGTCTTTGAGTTTATTTTGAAATAAATACAAAATAGCGTGCTCTTGAAGGATTTGTAACTCTTTTCTTCTGTCTCCAATATCTCTAGATATGGATAAAGCTTTCTCCAAGCATACTTCCGAAGCTTCATAATCTCCAACAGTTCTAGACACAACTCCAAGGTTTGCAAGATCTGCTGTCTCCCCTTCCTTATCACCAATTTCAGTTCTGATAACGAGCTCTTTGTGGAGATGCTCTTTAGCCATGTCGTATTGCCCGAGCGACTGAAGCACAGTTCCTAGGTTTCCATGACATGATGCTTCTCCTCTTCTGTCGCCAATTTCAGTTGTGATGACAAGCGCTTTTTGGAGATACTCTTTAGCCTTGTCGTATTGCCCGAGCGACTGAAACACAGTTCCTAGGTTTCCATAACATGATGCTTCTCCTCTTCTGTCGCCAATTTTAGATTTGATGGCAAGCATTTTTTGGAAATACTCTTTAGCCTTGTCGTATTGCCCGAGAGAATGAAACACAGTTCCTAGGTTTCCGTAGTCAGTTGCCTCTCCTTCCCTGTCGCCAATTTCAGTTCTGATGACAAGCGCTTTTTCGAGATAATCTCTAGCATTGTCGTATTGCCCGAGCGACTGAAACACAGTTCCTAGGTTTCCATAACATGATGCTTCTCCTCTTCTGTCGCCAATTTCAGTTGTGATGACAAGCGCTTTTTGGAGATACTCTTTAGCCTTGTCGTATTGCCCGAGCGACTGAAACACAGTTCCTAGGTTTCCGTAGTCAGTTGCCTCTCCTTCCCTGTCGCCAATTTCAGTTCTGATGACAAGCGCTTTTTCGAGATAATCTCTAGCATTGTCGTATTGCCCGAGAGAATGAAACACAGTTCCTAGGTTTCCGTAGTCAGTTGCCTCTCCTTCCCTGTCGCCAATTTCAGTTCTGATGACAAGCGCTTTTTCGAGATAATCTCTAGCATTGTCGTATTGCCCGAGCGACTGAAACACAGTTCCTAGGTTTCCATAACATGATGCTTCTCCTCTTCTGTCGCCAATTTCAGTTGTGATGACAAGCGCTTTTTGGAGATACTCTTTAGTCTTGTCGTATTGCCCAAGCGTATTGCTCTGTTTGATGGGAAACGTCAGGCTTCAGTATTCATCTCTTTTGGACCGGTTGGATTTGCAACACGAGATCGATCAGATCGAGAGTACAACTAAAGCTTCTGTCTTTAAACAGTAAGCTTCTTGTGGGTGGAAATTCACCCATTGTGCTCATAAACTTTTCATTTTCTTGCGGGTGTGATTTGCATCGAAGACAAAAATAGTAACTATTATAATAATAATGAAAAATAATAATAATAAAAAATTAAAAAAGAAAAAGGACGGAGTGGATCTGTAATTTGCTCGAACTTAACCACATCACTGGTGTTACCTTTGAAGGCGTTCATCCAGTGACTGAAACATGGCAACAAGAAAATTACATTAGAGAGAGAGTGAGGTAGCTTGACTTTCAGTAATAATCAATAGTTATTGCAAATAGTTATTCATATTTCTTTTGAGGAGGGGAGAGAGGTGGGGAAAATGGACTGGACTACAGTTACGTTGTAGGATCCCTGCATCCAGTAGGCGCTCTCCTGAAAACTCCCAACGGCAATTCGCGCTGATTTAACATTTTTGTTTCCTCTTTTCCTCAGACAATAGCAAGAAACTTGCAACTAGAGGGCACTAGCACCGAGCGATTATGTGAAAGATGAAAATTATATATGACTAAGGTTCTCCCTTGTCTTCGAAAAATAGCAAAGAATTGCAAGCTTGACAAGCTTGCTTCCCGTTTAATTTAGTATTGATGTCAACATTACGTGATTTCTCGAGATTCGGGAAATTCTATTTTCCAAGTTTACACGGTCAAAGCCAAACAAGTCGCATTTGAGAACGATGGGCTCACTATAGAAGAAGGAGGGTCTCGATGGGGTGATGGCTTTTACGGCTAACGGCTAAAATTTTGGCCATCTAACGGCTGACAGATAACATTATCCCATGAGTTGTAGCAAAATATTGTTGTCGCAAGCTATTACCAAGTAACGAGCTTACTTATCAGATTAATGTCACTGAAAACGAATCCATTCTTAGCCGATGAGAATGATAAACAATTTGTGAGGCCACAAAGCTTTGCGACGAATTCATTTCACTCCGGTGCCAATCTTCGCACAACATGCCATGACTTAATAGTATCAGGAAAGGACAGGACAAATTAGTAATTAGCAATTGCCTTTGGAATTAAAAGGTTACTTATACCTCAAGTAACCGTAAAGTTAAAGCTTAAGTTACGGTTAAGTTATTCTAAAAAAACAATACAAAATTATCAATGTCGCAGCTGATACTTCTGAAAGTGAAACGACAAAAACATTTTGCACTTTCCCCCTAAAAACATCTTGACTAATTTTCAAACCACATAATACTGTGCTGCACGTTTTTGACCGTATAAGAGATAGAAAAATGTTTTGGTTGTCATTTTACCAGTAACCTGATAACGTGATGGAAGTAAAAAGATTGCAATCTCCCTTCTCCCACATTTATAAAAGGATTTAATTAGGAGTTTGTGAAATAGCAATGACAAAATATTTAGATTTCAAAGGGAATGTTGTTGGAGCTCATTTGAAAGCCTCACAATACTTCTCAACTAATTTAACGGCTGGGCTTCGTAAACTAATTACATCTGAAAAGTAAGCGCAGTGATCAGTTACACTTCCTCCGGTTCCTCACAGAGAATTATAACATCTTTCTTCGTGAGCCCGCGGTATCATAGACTGACCTCTCTTCTTATGCGAGACCTTAGTACTTTCACAAAAAGCGAACAAGGTCACGTGAATTACTAAAGAAAATTATGGACACTGGAAAACCACGAACTGTAACACCGCGAATATCCTCTGACAGTAGTAAAGGACGGTCCGCATTATAAATATGTCTTGATATAGGATTCATTTTAGTTTTTGGCCACGTGATTGTAGAAACCATCAGTTTCTCAAATTAAACAATGCTGAACAATCTTAGCTAATGAGGTTGAAATATATTGTATAAAACCATAAAGGTTTGAAGAAAGCCATTTAACAGTGAATTTAAGAAAGTTTCAGTTTCTCTGAGAAAATTAAAACATCTCTCTTCGTGAGCGCGCAGCGTCATAACTTGTCTTCTTATGCGAGACTCTGGCGCTTTAAAAGACAAAGAAACAAATTACGGCCTTAAGAAAAATATGTAACACAGAACCTAGCCTGCAGAGCAGGCGTAATTTAAGCTAGGAAATGCTTAGTTTTTTCATAACGAATATTATGGCCGCCATCTTTGATTTTAATGGCAGCGGAAGGCTGGGGAGAGGAAAAATTTATACCAAGGGGGCGGTCGACGGTCAAAAATAAGGAGAGAGGGGGGGTAGGGGAGTGAAGAGTAGTGGGGGTAGGGGGCGGGGAGGGAGAAAAAGACTAAAAAAATAAAAACGGTCGGAGTGGCTCGGGTAACTTGCTCGAAAAAAAACTACCTCATTGGTCTTCCATTTGAAGGCGTTAATCCAGAGACTGAAATATGGCAACAAGTAAATGGCATCAGAGAGAGTAGCTTGACTTTTCTTGACTTTTCAGTAATAAATAATAGTCATAATCAATAGTTCAACATATTTCTTTTGGGAACAGGCGAGAAGTGGAAGAAATGGACTAGACGACAGTTACGTTGTGGGATCCGCGTATCTGCAAGGCACTGACTTTTTGTTTTCTCTTTTCCTCGGGCAATTTCAAGAAAATTGCCACTGGAGGACACTAACATCGAGCGATTATTTGAATGATAAAAATTCAATATGGCTTAGGTTCTTCCTTCTTATCGAAAAGTAACAAACAATTGCAAGCTTGACAAGCTTGCTTCCCGTTTAATTTAGTATTGACGTCAACATCAGGGACCTTAAGCAGTCAGGATGGCAACGCCTAGGAAGACTTCGATCAAAAAAATGAATTTCTGCCTTTAATTAAATTTAAAAAATGGCTGCATGTGTTTACCATCTCATACGGCACCACACCTCTACTTCAGCATAACGTAATAAGAGAAGCGTTGAGTTCCAAATGGAAATTAAAATAATTTGCCGTCGCGGTTTCGGTTCGCAGACGACGCAAGTTGTGGTGATTTCACGTTGTTGTTTTGCATAGGACGGCAAAGAAATGTACAAAGTTTTCAAACACACGTGCTAAGCTATTGTTCTGCCAATTAGATCTTTTGTTTTTTCATGTCCTCGTCGCCGTCGCCGTCGCCGTCGTGGTTTGCTTAAGGTCCCTATTACCTGATTTCTCCAAATTCGGGGAAATTTCATTTTCCAAGGCTACACGGTCAAAGCCAAACAAGTCGCTTTTGAGAATTATGGGCTCACTGTAGTAGAACGAGGGTCTTAATGGGGTGATGGCTTTTACGGCTAGTGGTTAAAATTCTGCCTATTTTACGACTAATGGTTAACATCATTCCATGCATGAGTTGTTAACAGAAATTTTTTTTGGAGGTTAATTTTGTTCACGACTAACAGTTAAAATTACACAATTTTTACGCTTAACAGTTAAATTTTTTTGGCCGTTTTATGGCTCATGGTTAACCTTCTTAAGACCCTCAATCAAACACTGTTACCGCCAATTTTTGATTTGAAAAAATTAAAACTGTGATCAAAAGTATTTAACAAAACTACTGAGAATAGCAACTTGATCAAGTGATTGTGGAAACCATCAGTTTCTTAAATTAAAAAATGCTCAACAATCTTAGCTAATGAGGTTGAAATATACTGAGATATATTGTATAACACCATTACGGTTTGAAGAAAGCAATTTTACGGTGAGGATATGAAGCATCCGTTCGACGCAAAAGTATGCTTATACTATGTAAGCAATAACTGGATTTAAGAAAGTTTCAATTTCTCTAGGAAAATTAAAACATCTCTCTTCATGAGCGTGCGGCGTCATTACTTATCTTCTTATGCGAGACAAAAAAGCGGATAACGGCGTTTAGAAAAATTTTTATCGCAGAACCCGCCGCTAGTATCCAAAAATTTAGTGAATAGTATCTCGACCATGAAACGCTTGTGTACAAGTAGAAAACGGAAATTCAATTTGAATCAACCGCGATCTCCGCATCGATAAACGATAAACCCTCCTAAAACAAAGTCAAGTTAATAGCTAGTGCAGATCATAGCCACTGGAAAGCCACGTAATTAAGTACTGCGGATTTCCTATGATATCAGCGTGGGACAGTCTACACCACAAATAGAGGTTTGAATTTAGATTTATGATCATCAAATTGAACGATACTCAATAACCTTATTTTAATTAATGGGGATAAATTGTGCGGTATAAAGCCACAGAGATTTGAAGAAGTCGCCGTAGAACCAATATATCTCACTGTGGTGATGATCCAATCGCGCCATCAATCGCTCTAACGAAGGGCTAACGCTCGAAACGTGGCATATTGCAAACATAAAGATCAAAAAAGCGGTTACTGGGCTTTGCCATAAGAGCCTCAACTCTCTACAGTTACTTAACAACTAGTGAGTGACTAGAAAAGATTTTCAATCGCACTTACCAAGATGTTGACAATATGGCTGATTCTTTCAAAATAAAACAAAAAACATTAATGAATCACTTTTCCCAACTTTCCGAACTTCCGCTGTCACAGTGTTTTACATATCCAGATCACGTGTGTTTAGGTTATTCCCTTTCCCCCTCTGGGCTTATCGAAATAAAAAGGAAGAGTTTTAAATGGCATATTTTTTGTGTGCCTGTATGCCCGTATATCGCGTCCCATTTAGGTTAAAATTTTCAACAGTTAGTGGTCATATGATAAAATGCTCATTGACCGAATCTGGTGGGGCCAGTAGGTAAAATATTTAGCTCAGGGTCAGTACAACCAAAGTTTCTTTTTTTTAAACGCTAAAATATTGACAACATATTTAAACGTTAAGTCAAGTACATGTGTTTTCAAATTAGGGAAACTTTCTGTCAATAATGGTTGAAAGCGAAGGTAGTTGATTAATTTATCTTACTCGACCAACACTGTTCCAATGCTGGACTCACGCTGTTATTTGTAACATGTAGGCCCAAATTTACCAA